AAAAAGAGCAGAAAATCTGAGGAGTTCTTTAGGGAATAATTTTTACCTTAATGAAGAACCAGGTGTGTCACAACTCTGCATTTCTGTTGGAGACTGAGATGAACCTAAGTTTTTCGAACCTAAGGTTACATTAACTGTCATATATTACTCCAAATCTGAAAATCATACTCGGAATACTATTCTAGCCAGTGATGGGAAAGGCCAGTTACAATTCAATGAAAAAACTTACTGTTATATTTGTAACACATGGGATTATATTTCTTTCCATATCGATCTCCAGAAGCTGTAACCTGGAAAAAGAAACATAAAAAAAAAGAAAGATATATCTTAGGTACAGAAGTAATAAAAGGAGATACGATACGAAATGTGTAATATAATTCAGAAAAGTACCTGTTCTTGGTCAATTAATTGTTCACTTGATACTCTTGGCCTGTCAGATTTTTTAACACCATTGCAAGATTGTAATTTCACAAGTTTTCCTTCTGAACGCGAAATATTCGGTGAACAACAAGTGACTTCACGAGTGACTTTTGAGCTGGTTTTTTCAGACTCCTCTCTCTGTGGCCATATCCTAGTATCTATTCAAATATCGCATTTAGAACACAAAAACACACGCAGAGGAAGCAAATAATAAATCAAAAGAAACGACAACAGTAACAGTAAAAAGGGTAACTATGAAAATGTGACCTTAGGATTTTTTCTAGCAAAATGAAAAAAAAGGTAACCTTGGGATTTTTTCTAGCAAAATAAGAAAAAGACTCCCAATTTACCTATAAAATGAATACCAGCCTCAATATAGTGTTCCTGGTACCTCAACAGGTATTTTTCAATTAGACAGAACTTTTTTTCTTTTTGACTGTTCGAATTAGTCTAAACGTTAGGGGGTTATTTTGTATAGTTACAAAAATAACAAAGCATACCTTCAACTGCGTTTGCCGATACCCCAGTTTCTTCTTGGCTATTATTCAACAGTTTTGAGCTAGCTGGCTTATTAGCTTTATTTGGATGAGAGAACATAGTGGCCAAAGCATACAAGGTTTCAGCTACTTCTTCTTCATCCTTTGTAATGTGCGCCTGTTTTTCCATTCATCACAGCAAGAATGCTCAATTGATTTATAAATGATGTAATATAGGTTCAAATGTTTCGTAAATTGCAATGCCTAACCCTTTTCGGCTTGGATTTCTTTCTGCCATATTTTTTGAGACAGTCATCTTTATTAGACACACGCCTTTTCTTCGAAATTGACAATGGCGATGTAGCCGTTTTGCGGGCCCGCTTTTTTATGGCTGGAAGATTAAAAAAAAATGAACCCAAAAAAAATCTACACTACACTTAGACAGGTAATGTTGTGTTGTTAGAAAAACACACAAATTGCATTTTTCAAGTTCGGCAAACCAATCTTGTACTGTATACTTACAAGTTACAATAAAGTAGAAGCAAGACCAATAAACAAAAAGTTTTGTCAAGAAAACAATTCACTTGGGAACTAAATAGAAAAAATATGTAGAAATAAAAAGAGGGGAAGATCACTCATTCAATATCTGTTCATAATTTACAGTAGTACTTCGGATAATATTGACCGTACTAACAATTGACACGAAAATAAAAGAACTTGGGACTCATCAAAGTTATTAATAAATTAAATAATTACACACCCGACCGAAGCTTCCTAGGTACCAAGGCATGGCTATCTCCATCACAGCCAACAAGAAGCTGAAAAACAAAAGTACAAAATAAAAATTATAGCAATAACAGAAAAATATATTTCCATATTGCATCACTTTTGCAATTGACAATCTTGTAAATTGTAATAAGATTATATGAAATCCTTACTGTTTTTGGCAAATTGTATTTCGTGTAATTGCTTGCACTAGGCTGGGATTCAACTTCACCATTAAATCCCACAGAACCCATTTCACACTCTTCACCTCTGTAAAATTCACTGTCAAATGAAACCATCAAAGCTAAGAAAAAGCCTGTAAAATATACAAGAGGATATAACTTTAGATAACACAAAAAACACACAAAAGAGATTAGGAAAAGGGACAAAAGAAGTGTGTGTGTGTGCGCGTAGTAATATATATAAGTTAATAACTCGGATAAAGACAACAGCTGAGATCGATGACCTCTTTTGGACTTTAGCACCGCAAAAATTGAAACAAGAACCGAAGGTTCGTTTTCGTAATTTCGCCTCAGTACAAAGGGATGTGAATCTGATTGAATACCAAGAACAAATGCTTTAAAATGCAGAACCGATGGGCAAAAGATTATCTTCCACACGCATGCGCAAAACCAGTGAATTTCGGGTTTTTACACGAGGGAAAAAATTGAAAACTGAAACATAAATTTTGAAGATCATGAGAGCTTGGTGTTTTTTATTCTGGTTAACGATGGTGAGACGAGGAATGAAAATTTTGTAGGAAAAAAGCGTGAAGGAAAATAGAAAAGTGAAAGCGGTTCCTTTTTGTTTGGGGGATGTTACAGAGAATCAGGTTCTTCTTCACTTCACACTCAATAAAAAGCTCATTTACTGCGACTCACACACTCTCTCTCTCTCTCTCACACACACACACATTACTTTCTCTTTCACATACATAAAACGTACAGAGAGATGGAAAATGCAAGAGTTTGTGAGTGGGAATTAGGAAATACAGAGACGGGAAAAAGGCAACATAATCGGAATTGGAATTTCTCGAAACCAAAGAAGATCTCAATCAATCATAACAGGCAAAAAGAGAAAAAGAAAAATTAAAAAGGAACTATCTTTCCCCTTTTTAACATGCATAGAAGCTTGATTCGAAATACCCATTGCTCCAATTTCGAAAAAAATGGGAAAAATTAATTTACATGTAAGTTTGAAAGTAAAAATGAACAATATAATAACGATGAGAAAAGCCAAAAACTGATTCGAAAACGAGCCAGTGACAGAAAATGAAAAATCATCAAACACCTCCAACAAAATAAACACAAACACTCATATGAAGTATTTTAGAAAAAATTCAAAATACCCTCTTCTTCGTTTTTTGGCACAAATCTAGCTGGCGTGAGAGGGATATAAATTGATGGGGTTTTCTTCAGATCAACAATGGCGAAGTAAATGTAGTTGATTTTGTTTGTTTGAGAAGATTTCAGAATAATTAGGAAGAAAAAAAAAAAAACAGAAANCTCAGTTTCGGGTCCGAACCGTCGGTTCTGGGCCGAGGGTTGCAGGGCCCTGAACTGGTCCAAACATATGCACGGATCAGTTCAATAAAAAAAATAGAAAAAAAGGGTCGAAATGTAGTTTCTAGTTCTGGTTCGAAACTGTCCTGGCGGTTCGAAAACCAAAATATATGTGGCCCACGGGTCTGGGCCCGGCTCGGATTTTCAACCGGGGCCGGTTCAGGGTCGTCTTTTTTTCGACACCGACCCGGCGGGCCGGGCTGGGTCCGGTTAGCACGGAAAAAATCAATTGTTTTTGAATTTTTCTTTTTTTTCTTTTTCTTTTTAAATTTTTCTGGGTCAGGCCCGACCGGGTCATGGGCCCGGCACGGGTTTAGGGCGTGCCGATTCAGGGTCGACAAAACCCAACCCTTCGGCCCGCCATTTGGCCATGTCTAATCTCGTCAGCATTTAATGAAGCCACATCCTCATTTAATGCGCCTATAGGCGCGGATATGGTGGCAACTAGGGCTGCAAACGAGCCGAGCCGAACCGAGTCGAGCATTGGCCTTCTCGAGCAGGATTTTTTTTTTCTTTTTTAACTGCTCGAGCTCGATTTATGAGGTTCGAGCTCGACTCGATAAAAAATTACAATAGCTCGAGCTCAACTCGAAATCAAAATGCTCGAGCTCGGCTAAAAAATTTTATATGGAAAAGTAAAATTACCACTAAGAACCTATGCTAATATATATATATATATATATGAGGGGTATATCAGTAATTTAACATATATCTCGAGCCGCTCGACAATGCAAAATATGGGCTCGAGATCGAGTCGAGCTTTTACTCGAGCGCTTGCGAGCGGTTCACGAGCCGCTCGGTTCGTTTACAGCCCTAGATGTGAGTGATGACTGTTTAAAATTATGTGAATGCCTGAATAATTAATTTAAGTTGAACTAATGAGTAAGAATGATTCATTAATATTATTTAATTATATTGATAAAGTTGATGTAATGTGTATGGATGATTCATTAGTATGATTTAATTATATTGATAATACTTAGGTTAGTGAGATTGTGTTAAAGTTTGAGTTAAAAAATGATTGAGTTAAAAATAATTGATTTTTTCGAATTCAATTCATATCCAATCACACTCATGAATTAAAACATTTATGTAAAATAATTTTACAACATATGCTACTTATATCCCATATATATAATTTCTGAATATGTTGAGCCTATATGACAGACTCTTCGAAATTCTATATGCCAAAAAAACCATGATTTGTAGCTAGACTTGGGTATTAATTAATATTTTTATACAAAAATAACTAATCTTAATTGCCTTAAATATCTATATAATTCACATTTAATACATGATTGATCTCTTACTTCTTTTATTTTACACTTAGTTATCATAAACTATTTTACATTTCATTTTCCTATGTTATTATATATTACATTTCATTTATTATTTAATTTATACATCAATTATTCTAAATTTGTCTTCTTCTTATTTTCCAATTTTCTTTATTTTTATTTGTATCTTGTTTATATATACAATACATCAAATTAACTATCTTTAATAATCTTCGATTTGACATCTACATCACATATATAAAATACAAAATAGTGATATATTTCCTTATAAACACAATTTAAATTTATTTGTACAACTAAATTAAAAAAATTTAAAATAAAACTATAAATTATCTTATAAAGAAACATAAATTAGTTTTTATTAACATGACATAAAATAGTTATTATAATTAAATAAATATACAAATTAAGTATGAACATAAAATAAATATAAAAAATATTCTAAAATTTATGTTTCAACTTTGATAAGGCAGAAACAAGTCTTCAATATATCAACTTTGATAAATTCTTTGGAATTTTGTACCACTGTAACGAGGCTGCTTATGCTTCGTACAAGCTACATGCTGATGCATGTCATTGCCATGTCGAGATTGCGGGCGGCAATTATTTGTGGACCGTATTGGCGACAGATAGATTTCCTACTCGTGAGTATACCAAATTGTCGATCCATAAAATTAAGTGTCTCATGTGAACCACTTGGGGACTCTCCATGGTGATTCTTCCAATGGAAACAAGAGTGTGCTAGATTGGAGGGCGAATATTTTTGGAGATGAGGAGAATGATGGAGATAAAGGACAACCATGATATTTAAAATATTTAATATAATTATTTATTTTCATTGTTATTATTAATACCTTTATTGCATTATGTATGCGGTAGGTGAATATTTATCTTTATCTAGTATTTTCCTATTATGCAGTATAGATAATCAGGGAGATGGGGATTCTATTTATTCTTCTCCCTTTCTTCATAACCGATCGGCTTTTATGAAATTGAATACATACATCCTGAGTTTTATCTCTTGTTTTCTTTTCGTACGTTTTCGCTCATTAAGGCATGTCAAACAATAAAAGTTTATCGAGGTCACATCCATTAAAAAGTTCAACTAGTATTTGATCATGTACATATGCACAAATGAAAATAAAATTTCATTGTGTATACAATTTTTAAAATAATAAGTTTTATAATCAACAGATCACATATTAAAAATTTTGTCAGTAGTAAAAATGAATGAATATAACTATAAATTATTTAACTTACATATAAATTACTATATTATTTGCAATAATGTAATTTTTTGCAGATTTTAATGATTATGACAAATTAATCATATGAGAAATATTGGAAATTATTATTATTATATCAATTGTGAGTGAAATTTCAAAGTGGTTAGGTTGTGCCATAAAAAACAATTCACTAATTTTAATAAAAAGTTGCTTTGATGAGCTGAGAAAAAAGTTATAATCATAGTTTTTAAATAAATATTTTTACAAACAGTTTTGCAATAAAACTATCATAACTTTCATATATTATTTTGTGTGACTTTATAATATATTGTGTGACTTTATAATTAGTTAGTAGTAGTTATTATATAATAAAATAAATAAAAAAAACATAATTGCTTGTTAAAGCAAAATGTAATAATTTCTTTTCAAAATTAACTGAAAAGAAAGAGCCGGAAAAGGTTTATTGCATTAAATTTTTCTCTCTCTAAAGATTTGCAGACAAGTGACAACAATAAACAAGTACATTCGGTATATATACGGATCAAATAATGTAATGAAACATGAATTGCACATCCAGAGATCTTATTCCTTAAAAACAAATGTGGTACTGCATTGTTGAGTGCAATTCCTCTTTCATTTCACTTTTTATTCAACCCAAAACGCCAAAAAGCAGTCTTAAATTCCAAACATCAAAATCCAAAGTTTGCAGATAGAATAGAAAAAAGTACAGCAGCTGTACTCTTCCAAGTTCCCTAGTTCAATCCAAAATGTAATAAAAATGTGAGTGTGTGTATACATAACATATGTATTATAGATATAAGCATCCATGTCAGCACACCCAAGAAGCTGATCTTTTCATGTGTGGCTTCATCTCTTTATCCTCCTCAAGAGATATCATACCCAAATGAGAAGGATCTTCAAGCATCATTTTAGCCACCAAATAACCGGCAATTGACCATGTCTGGTTCTTACGCGCTTGTTTTCCCATGTAACGCCCCAGCTTCCCGTCATAGTACTCAGGCCAATGATCCTTCATCAAACGTGTCTCGGCAAGCTCGATTGCCCGTCTTGCTAATTGGGGTCGACCGGATTTTATGCAGGCTGCTGTTAGGAGCCATAGAAGGACTACACACAAAAACAGTTCGGTTAATTAATGACTATGAAAATCGAAAGTAAAGCTTCAATATGGCTTATGTTGTTTTGCAGATCGAACTTTCGAACGGTATGGAGTTTGTTAAACAAGTGCAAACATCAAAGGGAAAATACATATACAAATATGTTTAGAGAATTCTTTTTAGCTCAAGTCAGAATTCAAAAGGATAGTTTTTTGTTGGCAAATTTTAGTCCTGTTGGTTTAACGTCGTAATAGTTTTAGTCCCAATGTTCCAACTTTTTGCCTTTTGGTGCCTTTTGGTACTATGATTTAATATTTTATTGTAGTTTCAGTCCATTGATGAGGACTGAAATTGCAACAAAATTTTAAATTATAGGACTTAAATTGCTAATAAAAAATCAATAAATTTGAAAATTTGTTGCAATTTCATTCCTTTGAGGACTGAAATTGCAGCAAAATATTAAATCACAGGACTGCAAGGTAAAATGTTAGAATCTTGGGACTATGACATGGCATTAAATCGGGAGGACTAAAATGCAGTTTAGCCTTTTTTGTTCAAGATATAGAAACAAAAACTAAGGCTGCAAACGAACCGAGTGGCTCGCGAGCCTTTACGGGCCCTCGAGTCAAATCTCGTCACGAGAATGTTATTGAGTCGAGCTCGAGCATAGTTTCAATCGATCTCGAGCAATTGTCTTCTTTTATCGAGTCGATTTCGAGCATCATAAATCGAGCTCAACGAGCTCGAGCAGGTAAAAAAAAAAAAATCAATCCTACTCGATAAGGCCAATGTTCGACTCAGCTCGACTAGTTTGCAGCCCTAACACAAACTGCCCTAACACAAACTGGCCAAAAAAGCAAGCAAAAGCTAAAAAGCAAGCAAGCCAAAAAAAAACTCAATATACCCGGCCAAGATCCCCCGTTGTGATAGCTCCAGCCCGTGTTCTTCGGATCACAACCTGTCACGATCTTCCACTCGTGATTCTCCATAGCCGGGTAACAAATCTTCATCGGCATTTCCCCCACGAGCTCCCCCCACCTCGACTCTATCAAATCCATTATAGCCCCCGATTGCTCGGGCGTCGCAAGTGACGACAAAATCGCAACACAATTCCCCAAACAAAACCACCGAAAATCCATACGGGCCGGGCTTACATTCCCAATGAAATATCCTCCGCGCGTCGGCATGAAGTCGAAGACCCAATCGGGAAGCGAATCAGGCATCACGTTAAACTTGTTAACGGCAGTGTGTGAATACTCTTCTGTTTTGTATCGGTAGATATCGTTGAGCTGGCGAAGATCGAGCCAGAAGTAGGTTCGCATGTGGTAGCTTAACGCGTGCAGCCGTTTGGATATTTGGTCTGCGCAATCTTTGCCTTCTTCATCGTGCTTGTTTAGCAAAAGCAACGCACATCTCAAGGCCATGAAGAACAGAGCTTGTATCTCGATCGGGTAACCGTAAACGCCCTGAAAAACACACGCGGGTTGTACAAGGATTGATTAAGGCTATGTTTGGTAATCAAGCTTATCTGATAAGTTTCTTTGGGTAGCTTTTCAAATAAGTTCGTAAAAATTTTTATTTTAGTTCTTATCAGCTCATTTTACCAAACACTTTTATTATATAAGCTAGTTTTTCAATTAAAAATCATAAGTTATAACTATAAGCTCGAAAGCCACTCATAAACTATAAGCTAGCTTTTCAGCTAGTTTTACCAAACATAGCATAATAATCTTGTTGGTGGTTTTTTTTTTCATTAATTATATATTTGATTGAATTTTACGAAAACTCACCATCCTCCGATCAATCATACTACACCCGTCGGCACACAAAAGTGTCGGGAAAGTATCGAACCCTTCAGACAAACACAAAGTCAAAATCAGTCGAATGCCACGCTGGCACTCGGGCAACTCGGCCAATGACGTGTCGCCAGTCGACTTCGTGTACGCGCGAAGCAAAATAATCCACCAGAAACCCGAGTCGACAGGTGCCACTCTACCAATAGCACACTCACCAAAATCGGCAATTATCGTCTCGTAGTTTCTCACCGGGTCGTGAAGCACTTTGAAACTCGCGGGCATCACGCCTGCCCCAAGGGTAAAATTGTCCACTTTCTTCTCCCACGACTGGAGCCTCAGCGTCTTGAGGAGAAAGTTCTTCACGATTTCTGGCTCGCCGTTCATCAGAAAGGCGAGAGCGCTCGGAACAAAGTCCCGAACAAACACCTGTCATCGCCAGCTCAGATCTTTTAGCTCATTTACTTTATCTCTATAGCTAATCATGCTTAAACTAATTAAGCTGTACCTGATCATAGTTAAGCTCTTCGGTTGAGTGGTCCAAAGCTGCAATGGTCCCGACAGGCTGACCTCGGAAATGAACGATCGAGCGCTGCAGGGCAACCCAAGCCTCGGCAACTACAGGGTGAGTCTCCACGCAGCTAAACGAGCGAGGGGTGCTAAATCCCGATTTTGCCCCTGGAGAATGAATGCTGCCCAAAGTGTCGAAAACGCGGGACGAGGAGTTTTCGTTGTTCTTGTACAAGTGGCGAGGAGGGGACGAAATCGACATTTCGCTGAATGAACGCTCGTCGAACGACCTTTTCTTCTCGATGCTGACGGGCCGAGGCCTTTCTAACAGCCTCGACAGGTCAGATTCGCCGATTTCAAAAATCGAGGATGCGTTCGAGTCTTGGTGCTTGAAAGTCGGCGACATGTTTGGTTCGGAAAGTCGGGCTTTTTTTTATTTTTCTTTTTTCGAATATGGGATATTTAATTTCTGCAGGGCAATAGGAAAGGAAGGTTTTGGGGGTTTTAAATAATAAGGCATACACAATGTGTTGAAGCTTTTAGCAGCAAGCAAGCTACATCATACATCACATTTCACAGAGTGGTTAAGTCAACTGTAATGATGTAGTATTTTTGCATAAAGATTGGATTTTTAGCAAGTGATGTAAGGGCAAACGGGGTCAAACGTCACGGATCACGCATCAAAAGCTTATCAATCAAGAACTTAAATGGACAAAAAGAAATAAATAAAAATTAAAATCACGCCATAGAAGGTCAACAAAGAAAGATCTGCGGGTTTGAAACAGATGGGGTTTTGTGCAGAGAGATAAGATTGGAAAAGAAAGTAAAAAATGAACTTTGATTTATACATTATTACATTCTATTATTACCTGTCCAAAAATTTCAACAAGAAATCTATGCAATTACCTAAAAAAAAAATAAAACTCATACAAAGAAAAAAAGCGATAAGAAACTGCTGAAATTAACTTCTTTGACAAAGATAATTGTAAAAGGATGAGAAGCAAACCTCCTCGAGAGGGGCTGTGGCAGATGGTTTGTATTTAGTATTTACTAAAGTCAGCTGAAACACAGATTTTGCCAAAAGGTTGAAAAAAAAGAGGAAGGAGAGAGGCTTTGGGGTGAACTGTTAAAATATTTTTTATAAGTGCTGGTGGGGACAAGTTTGAGCAGCGACACACCGGATATTCCGGTCGCGCTGGTGAAAGCTCCAGCTGGGTGACCGGCACGTCAGATTTTATCCATTAGGTTCGGATATTTTAGTGCTGTGCTGGAAAAAGTTGCCGGTTGCTATAAGAGTACGCAACTGCCGTTACTCGCGTGTCTTGTAAGAAAATGGTTAGAGCATCTCCACTGGAGATTGTGATGTATAACATAGAGAAAGGGAATTAAATTTTTTTGTCTCCAATGGTTAGTGTTAATTGTAGTGTCATTTATGATGTGTAAAATTATAATTGGTTGGAGAAGAAAGATAAATTGAATAAATAATATAATATATAATAGAAGTTGTTTAGAAGGACTTCTACATCTAGAAAGCCTTCTAGACATTTTTCAGGCCACGTCAGATTTTTTATGTTATGTGGCAGCAATGAAAAGACCATTGGAGATGCTCTTAGGAGAGAGCTTTTTGATGGATTTTGGGCTGTTGGGGAATGGGGAGTGGTGAGTGTCGGACACGCGCGCACGTGGTCGTCGTGATTTGCGGGTGGATTTTGAGGGGATGCTAAATGAAGTTGTACAAATTTGATGTTGAAAATTTGAATTGATATGCTTTGAAAGGATTTATGTTATGAAAAATGTTGTGGAGTCAATGGTTGGTTCTTTTATGGAGCCAACTACCAATGTTATAGTGTCATGTAGGTCACGTGAACAAATAATTAACTCCACATGACCTACGTGACACTATAATATTGGTGGTTGGCTCCATAAAGGAGCCAACCATTGGCTCCATAAAGGAGCCAACCATTGGCTCCATAGCATTTCTCGTTATGTTATTATGTGACATTAGATTTATATAATAGTGGATTGGCAACCTCGTGTTTGTTAATTTAATTCATTATATGCTAGGTAGAATAGTGTAAGATTGATATATGTAAGTTTGGTGAGATACGGAAAATTACTCTGGGCAATGTAGCATGAGCTAGTGCTGTAAATAAATTTAATCGAATTGAGCTTGGACTGTTCGAGTTCATGTTCGTTTACGTTCGAACAGTGTTCGTGTTTGTTCCTTTATTTTTCGAGCAAAAAAATCGTGTTCGAATTTCTCTGTTTAGTTGTTCGTCAAAGTTCGAGTTCGTTCGTGTTCGAATAATTTAATACATAAACTTTTTAAATATGTTTGATTAACTCGAAATTTATTCTTTTGGACTCAAAAATAAAAGAATAAAGCAAAAATATATTTATCTTTTAGATTTTTTATCAAAAATATTATGTAAATATATAAAAATAAAATAAAATTTATTAAGATTTAGATTTTTTATTAAAAATATTATGTAAATATATAAAAATAAAGTAAAATTATATTAAATTAATGTTCGCGAACATAATCGAGCGTTCACAAACGAGCTCGTATTCGTTCGATTACTAAACAAGTCTAATTTTCTGTTCGTGCTCGGCTCGATTAACAAACGAACGAGCTTTTGTCGAACACGAACGAGCTCCACGAGCTTTTGTTCGCGAACGTTCGGTTAAATTTGACCGCGCCTCGCAACGCAGAAAAATTATAATTTATATTTTCCTTAACCGACTTCTACCAACTAGTAGTAGTAGTGAGCAAGGGTTGACACGGTCTGTTACCCGAATTCTTCCTTAATTTTAATTTAACCGCGAGACGCTCTACGATTAAACCTGACTTCTTGTACAGTCCAGAAAAACGTTTTCAAGATTTAATACAATTAGTCGCTTTATGAATTAGAAAAATATGGTAGACTAAGTAGTGAACTCAACCGCGTTCGCTCACTTAAATAGGCCGTGTTATCCCCGGTAGTTACCATCTTCCGGTTACCTCTTATGAATTAAACACAACAACAATTACGGATTGCAGGTCTAATTCAGATGTAGATATGAAAAGCCTAATCTAGGTGATCAATCTAAACAAGACTAACACATCATGGTGAATTATTCAAAATAACACAAGCAATTCCAAAAAGACAACTCAATAATCAACCATGAAAATTAATAAAACATCGTCAAGTCGTAGGGTTCAACATCACCAGAACTAGAATAAAAACTACTCTAACATAATAAATAAAAAATAAAAGATAAAAGAGAGAGATTAATTATCTCCCTCGTGTGCGGGTGCGGCCTCCCTCCACAATTCGTCGGGCTCCCTCGTATTTTCTGCTCTGTTCGCGTTCTCCTTTCTCTTCTCTCGCTGCGTTTTCTTCTTTTTGCGTGATATAGGCGGCCGAAAAAATTCTCTTTTTCAATGTCTGTGTGGTGCGTGGCTGCGTAAATAAATACCCCAACCAATAAAACGCCTATGGGCTCCCCAACAAATAAACTTCCTTGCTCCCGTGACCCGTCAATGCTTGAGTCTTTTCTTTCCTTTTTTTGTAGGCTTAAGGACGCATGGACGAATATAACTTAAAGCAATTCCATTTGGACGAGACACAATCTTTTATCACATAATTGTCCCATATCTAAAATTTCTAATACCAAAAAACGAGTTATCTCTATCTGAAAACAAAAATTGCAGCTGCAATCCTTTTTTTTTTTTGACGAAACGGCAGAGATATTATATAACTCAAAGCGAACCAAGTTCGAATAGTACAAGCCAAACCGAAAAGCAAACTGAAAGGACACGCCTAAAGCGGCCTAGAACCTCAGCTTACTAAAAGGAAACTAAAAGAAAATAACAACAAAAGATCAAAAAAAGCTACAAGCACCATCCACTGCCTCAAGGCCTAGAGGTGAAAAGGGAAAATGCAAAAATCGAAGCAAACATCCAGACAACAAAAGGACACCACTACACAGCCAACAAACTAAAACCAGACTCATTAGGACTTCGCATGAATGAAATCCAACCAGTCCTGCTGAGCGGCCTTCAATGTGACTTTAACAGGCATGGTGATGTCTTGAAAGATGCTTAGGTTGCGCGATTTCCAAAGCCACCACAGGATATAGGTAGTAAGTTGAATTCGGGCCTGTGATGTCTCTGAGTTGTCAATGGAGCAAATCTCCATCCACCAGCCCCTAAAAGAAGAGTCATGGTTTGGAAGTAGGTTCCAGGAGATAGGTGCCATCCTCCACAGTTGAACAGCTCTCTGACAGTGAAATAAGACATGATTTATAGTCTCTGGAGCCATTCCACAAGTTCTGCAAACCACATCAATGGATAAGCCTCTCTCTCTCAATTTGGTTTTGACTGGTAGGGCCTCTGCTATGCACTTCCAAATGAAGATTTTAACTTTGTTGACCACCTTCAATTTCCAAATCCTCTGTCTAATTCTGGAATTTGGAGTGCAGCTGCTACTGGCTATATCAAGTGAGAAAAGTTTTTGCTGAGACAGGAAAGAATAAGTACTGGATACTGTGAACTTCCCATTCTTGTTGAATTTCCAGTACAATCTATCAGGATGGCCTGGTTTGAGAGTTTTGATGTCAAGAATTGCCTTGCTGTCCTGAGCATTAAAAACTTGGTTGATGAGCCAAGAGTTCCAATGAAGCCCTGCATCAGAGATCAGATCCTTAACCCAAATTAGATGCCCTCTAGCAAGTTCAATCAAGGTTGGTTTTGGATGCAACAGAGTGGGAATCCAGTTAACATCATCTATCCTTGTGTTTTCCCCATTTCTAATTTCAACAGCATAACCTTTGGCAAAAGTAGGCAAAACTTCCAACCAGTTGGACCACAGCCATGAGCAGCTTTGTGTTTTAACAGCATCAAAGATTGAGCAGGTTGGGAAATACCTGTCTTTGAGTATTCTACTCACCAGCAGATTTGGTTGGGAAGTGATTCTCCATAACTGCTTGCAGATGAGTGCCGAATTGAAGAGTTGAAGGTCCAGAAATCCCAAGCCACCATTGTCTTTAGGGAGAGTCAACAGTTTCCAAGCCTTCCAAGGAATGCCTTTACTTTGTTCTTCCCCTGTACTCCACCAGAAATTTGAGCAAAGTGAAGCAATTTTGGCACAGATAGCTTTGGGTATCCTGAAGCAGGACATAGTGAACATGGGAAGAGCTTGTAGCACAGCCTTAATAAGAACAGCTTTTCCAGCCTGACTCAAGAGCTTTGATTTCCAGTTTTCCAATTTGTGAGTGACAGAATCAATGATGTACTGGAAAGTGTCCACTTTGGACCTGCCAATCCCCAAAGGCAAGCCTAAGTATTTGGTAGACCTGTGCTTTGTAATACCTGCTAAGGAATCACAAATTCTATTCTGCAGAGCCTCAGGGGTCTTCCTACTAAAGAAAATGGAGGACTTGCTCATATTGACAGCTTGACCAGTAAAGAGTTTGTATCTCTCAAGGATAGAGATTAGAGAATTTGCCTGATCAACTGTAGCTTTGCAGAAAAATAAAGAGTCATCTGCAAAAAGAAGGTGTGAAATAGCAGGGCCATTTGTAGAGAGCTTTAGGCCAGTGAGATGACCCAATTGAGTAGCATGATTGACTAGTGCAGATAACATTTCAGCAACAATAAGGAACAAATAGGGGGAAAGAGGATCCCCTTGTCTTATTCCTCGAGATGGAAGCACATAACCATTAACTGCACCATTAATCTTGAAAGAAAAGGAGGTAGTGGAGATGCAGATCATGATCAATTTAACAAAGTCTGAGTGGAAACCCATCTGAAGCATGATTTTTTTAACACATAACCACTCAACTCTGTCAAAAGCCTTCATTAGATCAAGTTTTAGAGCCATAAAACAATGTTTGTGAGAATTATGCCTATTCAGATGATGGAAAGCTTCTTGCCCAATGATGACATTGTCCATAAGTTGTCTTCCTTTAAGAAAAGCAGACTGAGAGTCACTGATGCACACATCCATACATTTTTGCAGTCTAAGAGCAAGGATTTTAGACAGGATCTTATAGACTACAGTACATAAACTGATAGGTCTGAATTGATGCACATATTCAGGATTGAGGCATTTGGGGATGAGAGTAATTATAGTGTGGTTCCAATATTTCAAAATGAGACCTTTGTCATTTAAAAAGCTGGAAATAGCAGACACCACATCAATTTTGATAATA